CTCGATGCCGGGCATGCCGCTAAAGGCGTCTTCAATGCACTGACAGTGCACGTTCGAGCAGTTGCTACAGCCCAGGGGCACCTCCTCCCGCTCCTCGTGCATGTTATTTTCCACTGCCACTTGAGCGGCGGCTGAGTCTCTGGGTATGCGTGTCAAGGGTGCCTTGTCTGAGCGAGAGGCATTCTTGTCCGACAACGAGGACCGGAACTCCTTCACAAGGCTTTCCTTAGCGCTGCGCTCGACGGAGACCTCTTTTTCCAAAGCGTGGCACCGGTCACGCCACCAGGCCATTTCGCTCCGACATTGATCGACCTCATGAGAAAGGTTCGAGATCTGCTCCTTGAGTTGCACGACGTGGATCTCATGGTCGTCTTCGATTTTCTTGATCTGGTCCTCGAGTTCGTTAACGCGGGCCGCTCGACGCTCCCGGAAAGCTCTCTGGGCAGCTCGATTCTGCGCTTTGCGTTTGGTAGGGGGCGTGTCTGTGGCGGGCTTGCGGCCGGGTTTGGGACGAGGGGGGATCACCCATTCCTTGGAGGTGACGGAGCCGGGTGTGCCCGGACCGGGAGACGGTGAGATGGCTGGCTTGGCGGCCAATGCGGGTGCCAACGGAGCTGGACCGGGCGCAGGAGCGAGTGAGGGAGCTGGAGTGGCCATGGTATTTGGGAGACCTCTTTTTATTGTAAGAGGTGGCCTGGGTCGTGGTCAGCAGTCATAATTTTTCGCCGCGAGGAGCGGGTTGCGGGAGGTGTTTGGGGAGGGAAACGGACCAACAGGTGGGAAGGAAGAAGTGGTGGTGTCACTTGATCGCTTCGGCGGCCGGAAGAGCGGAAGTGCGCCCCTTCAGCCGGTAAGCGAGACGAGGTGTGGTGCAGAGCACACCGGAGAAGATTGGGCGTGCAGCAGCAATGTGTTTTATCAATCTATGCCACGAAGCAGACAGAATAATGGGCAGGGATTGAACAAGGTATGGAAGAGGAAAGGACGAAGGTAAGGCAGAAATGAAAACAAGAGGGCGACCGAGGGAAGAAGAGGGGGAAAGAAGGCCGGGAAAAAGGTATCGGATCAGATTAGATTATCGTGCGCGTTCACCGACTTCGGAGTTACGGTGGGACGTTCCTCGCCCCCGTCTATTATTCGCCAGTCCCGCGCCAGCCCGATGGTTATCAATCACCCAGCTCGGACTTGTTTGGGGTTAGGGTACGTTATCCACCTATTCTCCCCCCAGGAGTAAATCTTGTACACCGGGATTGCGTCGTTGCCCATTAGTTGATTCTAAAGCAGGGCTTGACGGTCAGCCTTATATGAACCGCGGAGTCTGCTCTGCTGCCTACCGACAGTACTACTTGAACTCTACATCTTCCACGCATCAGCATGGCCGATTACACGAAAAGTCCGAGATAAAAGTCGTGAGTCAATCATGACACTCTACACCTCCCATCCCACGGGACTCGAAATTCTCTCACCACCCCAAAGGCCGCACATGTGGGTACAGGTCTTCTTCCCGTCCAGCCTCTGTTTGGTGGTTGTTCCACCCGCGATGAGCGCGGATCCCTTGGCAAGACCACTGTCTCCAGCAGAAGAAAAAAACCGAAAAGCACATGGCAAAAGCGGATGCTCTTAATATTTGCCTCAGTTATAACGGAGCGAGGCTGACACATAGAAACATGGACATTCGGCGTCGAGTCCCCAATGGCCCAGGTACTCCCTGACAAACGAAATGAAAAATGAAATCAAACGGGGCCTGTGATTAGCAATTAGAACAGAAGATGGAGCCAATTACCTCTGATCGGTTGAACGGTTCTCCAGTCGCAGAGACCCTTCAGGAATTCTTCTCCCTTTTTGACCAGACCGGAGCAGGCAAGACCCATCCCACACCTCCAACCCGCATGCACTGGGTTTTGGTTCATGATGGCTGGCATTATTCGGTACCACTCCCTCCGTGGTCTGATCTTATCAGATTACGCTAGTCCCTTTCGGGAAATCCGAACCATGCGTGTCGTAATGCACGAACCAAAACCTGTCGACGATCAGTCGAGGAAATCCGCCTCCTTAGCCGGGTTCAGTCTAGTGGGATGGGTATGGTGAAAACTCTTCCTGGTTACTTGCCTGCGTTATTGCCAGCAGTTGGAGCGCTCATGGTTGAAGTCATTTATTGTAAGTGTTTCAAATGCCGATGAACGGAATCCCTTGGAGGCGAATACGGCCCGATTTTGGATACCTGTCGTTGAACGCGGCAGACCGACTTTTTTTCCATGCAGAGACTTGCATGTTAACTTCCCTATCACTCAATTAATTGAGTCACAACTGATATGAATGCGACATAAGTTACATATGAAGTTGGTAACCTGTGCTTCAAAAGTACGTAGTCAATAGGGATGTCTGCTATTCGCGGAAGCGAACGTTGTGACTGATAGAATTCTCCCTCCACCGATCATCGCTCGTTTCTTGATTTTCGGGTTGCCTTCTTCCATTCCTTATTTTTTGCCCTCTGGGTCCCACCAAGTACTACCTCCGTACCCCCATTCGCTGGAATCCAAGAGGTTTTGCAGAATATTTGTGATTTGCATTATTCGTCACGTAAAGTACAAGATTAAGAAGTGTCCATCAATTAAACAGAACATTAGACAGTATAGGCAGCATTTACAGATCAACCAGAGCTGGCGATCCCGTTGACGGATGAGCTGAGTGCTTGGTTTGGACAAAGACCTTCTGGATACCTCCCTCGCGATGATCAAACAATTCGTACAGTTTGTCCATATCCTCCAGGCGGACGCGATGGGATACAATATCCAATGGGTTGATCTCACCCTTCTGGATCTGCTCGAGGAGATACTTCCAATACTTCTGAACTGGAGCCTGGCCATTGCCAATGAGCCGGACACCTGTCTGCATCAAAGCACCGATGTTGAAGTGGTTTGTCTAGTAGTCGTTAGTTCACTAAAAAAAAAGTCAAAAGGTAATTGTGGTTGTCACGTACATAACCAGCGTAGACACCTGTAACTCCCACGCGGCCAAAAGGTCGGACAGATGTAATCATCTCGTTCAACATCTCTGAAGTGTCTGTCTCCATGCCCAAGAGCATCTCGAAATAATGTGCCCATCCTTTGGCGTACTCACCCGCCGTACAATCCAAAGCAACATCTGGTCCTCCAGGGACCATCTTCTTCAACTGAGATGTAATGGATTCCCCTCTGGGCAGCTTGGTGAAGTTCAAGGTCTCAAGCTTCGGGATCTTGCTCTGGACGAAATCCAAGCGCCAGGCGGCCTCTCCTCCATCAATGAGGATGACTCTACTGGCACCTTGTGAGAAGCTGAAGCTAGCCACCATTTGACCAATGGGCCCGGCACCCCAGACCGCAACTACATCGCCTTCATTTACCCCGGTGTCGACCACACAGTGGTACGAAGTGGCCAGAACGTCGGACAGATACAATGCTTTCTCGTCTGGGACATCATCCGGAAGCTTCAGGAGGTTGACATCACCATATGGAACTCTGACATACTCTGCTTGACCACCAGCAAAGCCTCCAGTGAAGTGGCTGTAGCCAAAGATGCCTGCCAGGATACAGGTTAGCATCAAGTCTTGAGATAAGATATTAGAAATAGTATGAAATGGGTAATATACCGGACGTCCGTTTGCCATACATGGCATTTGTGACAGAATTCTGGTTGGTGCGTTCGCATTGGGAGGTCAGCTGCTTCTTGCAGTTCCGACACTCGCCGCACGCAATGGGGAAAGCTGCCACCACTCGATCTCCCTTTTTCACCTTCTTCGCTCCCGGTCCTACACTCTCAACGACACCGCAAAATTCATGACCCAAGACATCACCTTTCTCGAGCTGAGGGATGACACCTGCAGGAACCAACAGCGGTTAGAGCGCCGCGAAAAATTGTCGAGACATACTCGGACACAGAACACATACCATGATATAGATGGAGGTCACTTCCGCAGATGGTGCTGCCAGTCACCTTGACAAGTACATCTCCTTCATCCACAACTCTTGGCTTAGGCATCTCCACTAATCACACAGGGTCAGACAAAGGAAAGCAGGAAGCCAAATCAGATACCGATCCTACTTACCAACCTCGACATGGTTCTTTCCGGTCCAGATGGTCGCCTTAATTTTCTCTCCAGTCTCCTGGCCATACTCCCCGTAATAATTGCTCACATCCGTGGTGACGGAGGCGTTGCCGCTATGTCCGACTGCCTTCTCCACGAGGTTGGCAGCTTGTGTTGCAGCCATATTTGCGATTGGATTTGATATCTTAAGTGAATAAGGATATTTACTCGTTATTACAATATTTGCAGAAGGATCAATGGTGCAGGGTTACGGGGCGCATGGGGGTATTTGTCTCGCCTCTCGCGGGGCCTCCGTAGCTGACATCACCGTGAGGTCGGTGCCTGTCATGCTTGCAATGCTCTCCAGCAATGGTAACCCCATTTCTGGGTCAAAGCTTGAAACAAAGCCGGTCGCCGATCCTGTGGCACGCAGTGATAGGCAACGCTTGGGACCCGACTTACTGTCCTTTGGTGCTACCCAGAGCCCATTGCTTCAGAGAGCCCTCTCTGAAATGACGTCATTTATCAACAACATTCAATGGCCTCGACAATTAGACAGTTCGTCAACTGGCCCGTCACGATGTTGACATAGCACATGGCACATGAGGGAATTCCCAAATATACAAATACACAGTTTTGGGAGGCACAAGGTCTGGGCCCTGTCAGCTGCACTGTCGTTGCTTGTCGATGTTGGAGCTGGCCGCGTTGCAGAACTCATCTCGCCCGTCGCTTATCGCGAGTCGGGTCTAACTTTAGATACATGATTCTGCATTGATAGCTCAATTTACTCTCTTGGGTTACTCATGCTTCGTGTTGTCAACAGTTGTCAACATGAAGCACTTCTGCCTAAAAGCTCTCGGGTGCACTGCCAAGCCGGTCCCCGCCATTTATGATCTCTGTCTTCCCCGTGTCATCGAAGCTGTACAGCACCCGGCTGAACGCCCTGAAATCTCCGTCGCTGTGACTTCTTGAAGAGGGCGCCCCTGATTACCGAATAAGAAGCTTGCTCCTTGGGCCAATAAGACGCCCTTCATTCCCGCCGGCTCACTCGTGTCTTGGCCGGATTCTTCGCGACGCCCTGGTCTCCCTCCTCAAATTCCATCATGAAACACCTCGATCGTTGGCTAGACCGGATTACCCGTCATGCCAAAGAGATATTGGAGCCATCCTCCACGCCTGTTGAGCAGACGGGTCCACCGCCCAATCAGCAGTATCACCGTCCTCCGCCGCCATTACCTCCAGGTTTGTACCGAAATTTCATAATTGTTCACCCATTCCTGAAAGCTGTGATCGATTATATTGGGAAATGATCGGCTTGATCTTGCCATTAAGCTGTTTCCCTTCATTCTGTCGCTCTCGTATCCGTCTGCTTTGTTCCTGTTATAGGGATACCTTTTGGAGAAGTATGAGTGATCCCGTGTGTTTATATTGTAGATCGCCTATGTATCATGTACTTATTGGCTTGGAAAAGTCGAGACCACACCTTCGACACTTAGCCACTGAATTTGTATACGAAACCAAAGTATACACAGTTAGGCGTGCTTATGTTGTGCTCAAGATAGCACTACTTTGCTTTCAGTTGTCTATATACGAAACTCACCCACTCAGCTTCTTCAAACCCACCAATTGATGTTCAACACTGGATGAAATGCTGATCGGCTGTCTAATCTCATGGTTTATAGTTGCAACGCCGGTGCTCGCCAGATCTGGCCCACAGACTGTTTTCGCTCATTTCATCGTGAGTACTTCTGCCTTTCATCCATGAAAGAACGGCTCACTGACTGTGTCAGGTTGGAAATGCCGCTGCTATGACCCCCGAGCAGTGGGAGTCGGACATTAGAGAGGCACAAAAAGCTCATATCGATGGCTTTGCACTGAACATTGCTCCCCAGGACAGCTACACCGATGATGTCCTCGAGAAAGCGTACTCTGCAGCGGAGAGCGTCGGGAATTTCTCCCTCTTCCTGTCTTTTGACTATGGTTCAGGGGGCCCATGGCCGGCCGATCGGGTAATTTCAACGATCAACACCTACCGGAACCGAAGTGCCCAATATCACTATCAGGGGAAGCCGCTAGTCTCGACATTTATAGGGGCTGGTAATGCAGGCGACTGGCCGTACATCAAAGGATCTGCTGATTGCTTCTTTATGCCATCCTGGCCCGATATGGGGCCGGCAAGACTCAGGGATTACCTGGACATCATTGACGGCGTTTTCAGTTGGGATGCCTGGCCGGTGGGGGCGCAGAACAAAAACGTGACGAGCGATCGCGAATGGATGCATGCCCTTTCTGGGAAGCCGTACATGATGCCTGTCTCTCCCTGGTTCTACACCAATTTACCCCAGTGGAACAAGAATTGGCTATGGCGCGGGGACGATTTGTGGCATATACGGTGGGAGCAAGTCATGAACTTGCAGCCGGCCTTTGTTCAGGTAAGGCAATTCTCGGATGTACTGGGCACTGCTGACCATTATTAGATTATTAGTTGGAATGATTACGGCGAATCCCACTATATAGGGCCGATCTACGAACCCGGGATGCCTGACGGATCTTCCAAGTACGTCTTGGATTGCCCGCACGATGCGTGGCGAGCTCTGCTGCCTCACTACATCGCCGCCTATCGAGGGTCCGGGATGAATAGTATGTACCAGGCGAATCAGACACTGCCTTTGGAGGATAAGATGGTTTATTGGTATCGCTTAAATCCGAGTTATGCTGGGAGTGCCAACGGCACGACGGGCAATGATCCTAATGTGGGCCAGGAGGTGATGCCACCGAATGAAGTTGCCCAGGACCGAGTATTCGTCAGTGCTACTGTTAAAGATGCCTGTGAGATATACGTCCAGATCGGATATTGCGAACCTACAATTCTTCAGGCGTCTGGTCCGGGAATCCATCACTTTTCGGTGCCGTTCAACGGGCAAACGGGGCCGGTGCGGATAGTGATGGTCCGGAATGGCTATGAGGTTGCAGTTGCCGTTGGACCAGCGATCACGGATGACTGCAAGGATGGCAATGTCAATTGGAACGCGTATGTGGGAACGAGCGACTAAGCCGAAACTATGAGACTAGATAGATGAAGATAGGAGATAGTGGTTCATCCTCGGCTCGGGCCAAGTGGGACGCAGCTTATCAGTGACGCAGCTCCCGACCAACTTGGCTGGTAAATAGATTCTGGGAGCTATACACGCCCCGTTTTACTGTGAATCTTAAGCGATTGCTGTTTGACTACTCCAATTAACACCAATGACCGTAGAATTTTCTTCGATTACAATGAAGCCCACTTTTGCCTTCGTCCGACGGAGCTCCGGGCCTCAGCAACCAAACTGGTCACGGCGCTTATCGGAATGATCGTCGAAGCTCCGCTCAGCTGACCTCGTCCCTTCTCCGCTCTTCTCCAATTCCCTCCCTCTCCTCATCCTCTTCCTCCTCAATTGCCCACTTGACTATTCCACTACTTCATCTACCACCTTTACTACTTTTCCTACAGCTCCATGGCCAAGAAGAACATCATGGGCCTCCGTGAGGCCGCTATGGCCTATCGTCCCAGCTCGTCCGGCCACCTCCCCGACCCGGTCCAGGACTACTCTCCAGTCTCTCCTGCTCCCACCGCGCAACCTACTGCGGGACCGGGGTCCGTTAACCCAGATGACTATGCGAAACCGTACTGCGAGTTTATGACGGCGAACCCGACCATCTTCCATGCTGTTGACGGCTTCACCAAACAGCTGGAAAGCAAAGGATACAAGCGCCTGCCCGAGCGCGAAGCGTGGACCTCCAAGCTTGAACGCGGCGGGAAATATTACTGCACTCGGAACTCCAGCGCGTTTATCGCGTTCTCCATTGGCAAGGATTACAAGAGTGGAAACGGTATGGCTATCGTGGCCGGTCACATTGACGCCCTCACCGCCAAGTTGAAGCCCGTGTCCAAGCTCCCCACAAAGGCCGGCTTTCAGCAGCTCGGGGTTGCCCCATATGCAGGTGCTCTGAATGAGACTTGGTGGGATCGGGATCTATCTATTGGTGGCCGTGTTTTGGTCCGGGACCCTAGCAGCGGAAAGGTCGAGTCCAAGTTGGTCAAGCTGGACTGGCCGATCGCCCGTATTCCCACCCTTGCACCGCACTTCGGCGCGCCATCCCAGGGCCCCTTCAACAAGGAGACGCAGATGGTACCTGTGATTGGCGTGGACAACTCCGACCTCTTCCAGCAGCAAACGTCGTCCACTACAAGCCCCTTCGCGGCGGGCTCATTTGCCTCTACGCAGCCGGAGAAGCTCGTCAAGGTCATCTCCAAAGAATTGGGCATTACGGACTACAACACCATTCTCAACTGGGAACTGGAACTCTATGACAGTCAGCCAGCGCAGCTGGGTGGTCTGGAGAAGGACCTGATCTTTGCGGGGCGGATTGATGACAAGCTATGCTGCTACGCGGCTCAGGAGGCTCTGATCGCCTCGCCGGACAGCACATCCCCGGGATCGGTGAAGATGGTCGGTATGTTTGACGACGAGGAGATTGGCAGTTTGCTCCGCCAGGGTGCTCGGTCCAACTTTATGAGCAGCGTGATGGAGCGTATCGCCGAGGCCTTCGCTCCGAGCTATGGACCCAACGTGCTGGCGCAGACCGTGGCCAACAGCTTCTTTGTCTCCTCGGACGTCATTCATGCGGTTAACCCCAACTTCCTCAACGTGTACCTGGAGAACCATGCCCCGCGCTTGAACGTCGGCGTGTCCGTCTCCGCCGACTCGAACGGACACATGACGACGGACAGTGTGAGCCATGCTTTCATGAAGCGTGTCGCTGAGCGCTGCGGCTCAACCCTGCAGGTCTTCCAGATTCGCAATGATTCCCGCAGCGGCGGCACTATCGGGCCCATGACCAGCTCCCGGATTGGCATGCGGGCAATTGATGTGGGCATTCCTCAGCTCAGTATGCACAGTATCAGGGCGACGACGGGCAGTCGGGACCCTGGTCTGGGAGTGCAGCTGTTTAAGGGTTTCTTCGACTACTTTGAGGAGATTGACAAGGAGTTTGCTGACTTTTAGACATGTTGTACTTTGATGATAGTCTAGATATAGATTCCCAATGCTATGTGTAGTGCTTCAAATTCGAGACTCCTTTTGTTAAATAAGTATTGAGTTTAGTATACTCACGGACCTTTGAGACTGCATCAAGGTTTGTATTTCTGTGTTTGGGCTGTCCTGCACATTCAGGTCCAATATGTAGCTTTTACCTCGATATTCATACCAAATAGAGAACCTCCAGCACCGACCATATGGATTCAAACTCGAACTAATCAGTAAGGAATCACATCCATCAAGTAAGAAAAAGAAGTAGCTTTACCACTACCGAACTACTCTAAAAAATTGTAGATAAATAGACCCAAATACTACATATTCTGCCGCCTCCCCCTAAAGGCGGTACAAAAAGCAACAGAATGCTGACTCAGTTTTTCGGGGCTGTGCAAAATGAATTTCCGTCTATAGCCGTCTATTTCCGTGTTTTTCTTTGCGAGGTCGATGGAGTTCTGCCGCTTTGGGCGGTCAAAGAAACGGTCTGGGTGGGCAGTATGTGGATGAGCGATTGTTTGGGGATATTCTCGAAACCCTTCTTGGTTGAACCAGTTGGTGCAATTGATTATTGGTGGATCAGGGTTACGCTCGGTCAGTGCTCTGGAGTCTTAGGGAGAGAGATTGACTTGGTGATTTCTTCGAAGCCTGCTAGGTGTTTCTTTGGCATCTGCAATACAGTCTCGACTCCTTGGGCGTTCTATCTACTCCCAGCAATATGGTATCTGGGTTTTGCTGCATAGTCCATGATTATGGCGACATCTTCTCTGATATGATAGAAGATTTATAGCATCTTTCTCGGCGTTTTGAGCAGAGATCAGGATTGTAGCCTTATGATCCGGTGCAGGCGGTTGATCGAAAATGACTCTGTAGATGTTTTATGCAGTCGAATTCTCAGACATGACTGACTGACGCTGGAGAAACCTGTATGGTCTTGGGTTTATTAGGAGTTGAAGGATGAATACTTCCATCCTGGGTACCACCGTCGATCATCATGTTCTCCGCTTCCTCGACGGTTTACGGTGTGAACAAATTCAATGCTGCTAGTAGAAGTATGTGTGACGGTTCTTCAAGGGGTGGAAGTCTATCGCAAGGATTGTATGGCAACTCGCTAACCAGTAGACTCGAATTTATTGTATATTGGCAGTGGCGCTGGTTATTTTATTTCAAAGCGCAGTAAAAATCGTTTGAGTTGTATGAACTTAGATTAAGACACCTAGCGAACAAAGCACTTGATTAATCAAACTGTATACGCTTTGTCCTCAAGCGGCAGGCTCTTATAGAAGTAATTCCCTTGAACTTATGGAATGTTCCGTGGATAGGAATGTTCAACAAAAGGAGCCTAAATGGGATTTATCTAACCTTTCTTGCTTATAGCTAAGTCTTTGCACTCGCTCTTGATTGGATTATGCTACCGGGATTTACCGTTAAGGTCCAACTATAAGATTATTTGTCGACAAGATCTTATAAAAGGCCAGTTACACTGACCGCAGATCTACAGGGGGTTCGAGCCCCCCTTCTAAGGCATATATTTGCTTCACTGGTATTCCTATCATATTTACATCCCCGAGATATTATGAGTAAGAGGATGGATCTGAAGAAAACTCTTGATACCTCGAGACTAAGATGGTAGTAAATGTCAACAGATGCGCGATATGCGATGTGGGAAATTCCAGCACAGCTGCAATCTATCTTTCACAATAAAAACCAGTGAACTTTCCAGGATAAAGAATCAACTGAAGCATGCCTGGTAACTTCAAGACAAAGCAAACAAAGGCATGATATACACTCCTCTCTGTCCATCCGGAAAGCCCCGAATCCGATGGTTGCACAGTTCGCTACAGCCCAGCTAAAGCGCCCTAATACTATTGAGCCACATGCAATCGGCAACTGACAGTGAAGTCCTCTTTGCATAACATCTCTATTATGTTGCAGAACAAGGAGTAACCCTATAAGTGTCCTCCACCAGGTGGAAAATATCCTCACCAAGCTCCATGTCGTTTATTCGCTCAAGGGTTGGCTTCCACAATCGCCATGGTCAGACACGCAACTCCAATGATTTATATTCCTGTCAACCCACCTTTGAAAACACATTCCTGTTCTAAGCAACACTGCCTTACTTGCATCAAACCATTATGTCTGGATACGAATACACAGGCCAGGAGGTGAACTACGAGCTCATCGCCGATATAGTACAACTCCTTGAAGAGAACGGTATACCATGTCTCCTAATTGGCGACTACATGTCTGAAGCCATGGGAGCGCCTGGGCTCCGCGGCGTAAGTCAACTGCCTGGCCTCATCTTTACTAGTTACAACAGACTAACCAAGCCTAACAGAACATCGAACTCGTCCTCGAAAGCCATGATATAAACAGAGCAATCCACATCCTCCGCAAAGCCAACTTCCCTGATGAGCAACCCATGTACTACACCCATCTGCTCTGTCCCTTTCCCCACATGGGACAAAGGACCTGTTCAGCCCGCGAAACCCCCTTCATCCCCTACTACTCATTCCACCTAAACGGGATTGTCTGGGGAGAAATGAACACAGTGTTTCACATTGATCTCTGTCTATACGAGAAGCGATATCTCTTCTGGGACCTGCCTGAGCTCACTCTAGGAGAACTGTCCAAAGATGATCCGCATTTCATCCTAGCCAGTAATCCGCGTCTCCCTCCCCAGAAGGACAAGCAGCATTGGGGCCGGTTCCCTGATACCCTGTACCCGGTCAAGATGCCCATGCCGGTGCGGTATGTCGAGGCGATGATGCTTCTGACTGCCCGGGACTGGCAAATCAAGGGACATGGGTGGGCGTGGCGGGCCGAGATAGTGTATATGTGGAAGCACGTAAGAAAAGGCGTGCTAAAGGAGTTCTTTGAGTTGGAGAGGTTCAAGCCGATATTTCGGTTCTGGTGGGCGGATTTGGAGACTTCGGAGACAATGCCCGGTGGAGAGGTGCTGTGGGTGCATAGGCTGAGGGGGCAGTTGCTGGCGGCGGGTATGATGCCTGAGACGCCGCTTACTTGGTTGAAGACGTATGATTGATTCAGTAGTGATTGCTTGTGGTATATAGTATTTGGTGTATGCATAGTTTTGATGAATTAATCAATCAGTATAAATGGGGCAATCAGGTCTGACATGCTATGCCTCAAATCAGTCTTTGAAGAACGTTACCTATTGTTTCCCTGATTAGGATACATTTAATGCTTGAGAGTAGTGAGGTAGTAAATGCCAGGACCGGGAACCAGTCTCTAACTGTGGCACAATCGGTGGGTAGACATGGAAGGGTTCAGCTGCAGTGGCGGAAATACGTTCTGCGATCATCTAGATATTCAAGTCACGCCAGGCCATCATGAGGGCTTTGCTAGTCTGTATTCAGAAGAGACGTGGTCTCGCACTTCTCAGCATGGATTGCTCACAGACAATGGGAGTTGAGATAGTGGAGAGACAGATTTGGTGATAACATAGGGTTTGACATTGCGAGACAGCAGATTATGTAACTAACTCAACCTTAAATACGAACAGTAATCAAAGCAAGGCATGAATCCTACTACACTAGACGATACGACAAATAGGAACTAGTCGAATAGGATAGATTATTTCCCCAAGAAGGCAATTGATTGCCTCCGTTCATGACATACGTCATACGCGAGTCCGAGACTATAATAATCCACCAATATACATTATAGATAAGGCCCAAGCGTTAAGCCCTCACTCACTCCCACCAACCCCACCCCCTATATGTCCTCTTCTCTATAGCACAATAGCGCCGATTACCCGGTCTGCTTACTGCTTACTGCCTACTGCTTACTTACTTTTCATCCCACACAACCCACCGATCGATCGACAGGAAGTAATTCAGCGATGCAATGCATACAGACAACACCACTCATGACATCAATCAACAATAAAAATAAAAGTATACAATTCACCATCACATGCTCCGTTACCAAGATCACCAGACCCCTGAGAGCCAAAAGTAACAGAAAAAAACCAGACTAACACGAAAATCGGCTCTCGGAACCCGGTCGGCCCAGCCTATAATCGACTGGTATTGTTAACGCCCCCGAAATCCTCCTCTTATCCGACTGGAGGAGCATTAGACTACTTTCTAGGCGTCCAACTAGCTTCCTTCCTGCATTACCGGGACCAATCATTTCATGGCTTGGATATTGAGTGAGGGGGGTTTGCGTGGGATACTAACTGGTTTGTAGTAGGTGTTATGATGGTAGTAGTAGAACAGGTAGGTAGGGAGTGGTAGGGCAGGCAAGGTACACCGACGTTGTCCGTTGGTGATTGCTTGTCTCGTGTTACTTGTTTGGATGACGTTCTCTCTGCGTGTCTTCTGGGTTATAAATAGGGTGTCGAAGATCTGGAAGATAGGGCATTTTTTCTCTATCTAACAAATATTATCTAAGGGAACTTCTGTACTACATTCAATATGGTCGCCATCACTGCTAAATCTGAAGCAGCTTCTGCTACTTCGCCCATCCCTACCACCAATACTACCCTCAACGGGGTAGATGGTTCAAAGGAGAAAGGAAAAGACCTTCAACCCCAAGAAAAAGAGGAAGTAACAACAGCAGAGGAGAAAGATACCAAAGCATACAACTCCTCCAACGGCGTCACCAGCCAACTCTGCACCTGGATCGCCTCCCTTCAACTAGAAGACATCCCAGACTCCGTTCGCACCCGCGCCAAGTACCTCTTCCTCGATGGCATCGCCTGCGCACTCGTCGGTGCGCGCGTCCCATGGTCGCAGAAGGCTTTTGATGCGATGGCAGTCTTCGAGGGGAAGGGGAAGCATGTGGTTATTGGGTATGAAGAGGTAAGCCTTCCTCTCTCCTGATTCTACTTTCCAGTACATATTGATATGGTACTAATCTATAATGACAGCGCCTCGGTGCCATCGCCGCGGCAACCCTCAACGGCTCCTGGATCCAAGCTTGCGAAGTAGATGACTACCACAGCGTGGCGCCCCTACACTCGCAAGCCGTGGTCATTCCTCCTCTCTTCGCGGCCGCCGTCAGTGCACGGGACCAT